TCTCAGTACTACTGGACTTTAGAACGACTATAACCTAGTACGCGGGTTAGCGTCCTAAAACTGAGTACCGTTTTTCACACAGAGACGAAGTTTTATTGTCGCAAACACGGCCCTAGGCGCAGACACATCCTCGAGACAGTGTTTGAAGTTGTGCCGTCGCGTGTCCCTCCAATCTCGGCTCTGTCGACCTAATCGTGGTCTTTACTTCAGAAAGAAACAAACTTTCTTCTCGTTTCCCGAAAAGAACTACCTTTTGTACGAGGAGCGAGCAGAGGACTAAGGGACCGTATCTAATAAGCTAACCCTGCTCACGGCCGGAAAAGGCGTCAAAGAATTATTGTCCGCGAGACAGTCTACGCAAGACTTGTTTGAGTGCCGTGGACTCACAGAAAGATGGTAGTTTCCAGTGTCTCCTGTCCAACCAGTAAGGGGACGTGTTATTCGTCACCCGACCTAGACGTCCCCCGACTATACCTGCAGCTAGTTATTCAGTACTACCTTTACGAGTCCACTACAGACCGAGTAAACTTTTCCAAAAGGGTCTCCACCCCCTTCATGAGTCTAAACCATTCCAACTCATTTTACTCTCATGAGTCAACAACATGAACTCATTTTAATCTTCATGAGTCTACAACATGAACTCATTCTTAATCCTTCATGAGTCCCTACAACCATGAACTCATTTTAATCTTCAATGAGTCCTACAATATGAACTCATTTTCCTCTTCACGTCGGTTCATGAAACGTGCATGAATCACGGGTCGTTGAATCACGGGGGTACCTTGTTTTCATTTGTCTAGCGGCAAGTGGGTGGCTTATTCAAGGGACTCCCTTCTAATGCGTTTAATTCGGGGCGACTGTAGTTAATTTACTTTAATTTACTTTAATTTTCAAATAAATATATGCGGGTTTTAGTGTTTTAGGATAAACCAGGAGGTCTCCCGAAGTTGTTCAGTTGTTTGTGTTAACCGTTACATTTTGTTACATTTTTGTTGTTTGCATTAATCTAGTTACCACTTTTATGGTTTAAATTTTTCCTTGTATTGTGTTACTTGTGTTTATGTCAAGCTCATTTTATTTATGTTAAGGTATTTTGCTTCCCAGGACTCCTACAAATTTTCCCCAAATTTTGGGTTCAGATTGCCGGGCGGGTGTGATGTCGAAGCTGTCGAGTTTTTGCCACAGGTTGTGCAGACGGGTAAGTCGAAACTACCCCACTTCGCAGTGCAACGGTAGCGAAAAGCCGGGCTTCGACTTTAACACCCATCCGCTATCGCCAGCCCGCAGAGGCGGCCGGCAGAGCGCCCGACGTCTTCAACTTGGTAACAAGTAACCATCCGGTCGCCGGTCGCGTTAGTTTACGCGGCCGGAAGACTCTTTTTAGACTCCGTCGAGTTCGCGGATCCGGTTTACGTTTGCCGCAGATTCGACCCTCTCTATAGGGGCGCGCAAGTTAAACGATATAAGTTTTTTTCTAACCTCCTCTTTGATTAATAAGCCGGGGCAGCTCGTTTAGTCGGTCCAAAACATACCTGTCTGCGTGGGGAGGGAAGGGTGGGCGATGGCCCTATGGTTTGCGCCTCCTTGGGTCCGTACCTCCCTCCACCGTCTCGTCTCCGCAACTTTGACCATCCCAAAAGCGGGAAAAACCTCTCCAAATATTAGGTCAAATGAAGCAAAATTGTAACCGATAACCGAAACATTACACGCCCCCCGCCCTTGTAAAGTACACTACTAACAACCAGCGGCCCACCGACGCTTAATTTTAGCGGCGTTCGAAGTCTGTTGCTGGTCGGAGGTTTCTAAAAGAAACTTTCCGACATTTCACAGCCTGCCCCGGGGGGCAATCGACATCGCGACACCGTATTTTTCCTTTCAGTAAGGAAGAAGAAGACGAAACCCAAATCCGACCCGTCCTGCGTTTGTACTTCACGTCACCACCGCTAAGCTAAAGGTGGCTAATCTTAGGCTATAAAGCAAGGTCACATGACTTACAACCAGTCTCACGGCATTTCGTGTTGTAATCACAAAATTAATCTTGACCCGTGATCACCAACACGATTTCCCCATTTTTTTCGTGTCACACAGAACAATTTTAAAAGCAATGTAAATAATAACAAATTAGAAGAAAAAAAAAGATTACAAAAAATACAGATTTCCGTATTCTGAAGCTCTCAGCTCCATTTATTTTCCTCGCGCACAGCAACAAAATAAAAGGGTTAGGCTTAGGGTAAGATATTGAGTAAGAAAATGTTTTTATGAACCCCACAGCTTCCGGTCTTCCAAGACCCGACCGGACCAAAAGACGTGGTGCAGGCACGAAACACACGACCAATAGAAATACATTGCTTTTAAAATCTTTCTGTGTGACACGAAAAAAATGAGAAAATGGTGTTGGTGAACACGAATCAATAGATTACATGTCGTGACTATAACACGAAATGCCGTGAGACTGGGGTGTGTGTTAACGTCAGACCTTACTTCAGGCTAACAACCAAAAACACATTCAGAAACGACTGAAGAGGAAGTGCTGAAAGGCTGGATAATGTTCAGGTCTTACATCTCACCGCTCTTTCCTCAAATCCTAACCATTCGAGGTCATTGCCTTACCCCAACCATCTCATTAGGATCGAGCAAACAATAATACTACAGTATCTCCTCTGAAGGCAGCAGATGCTCCGGGCCTGTCCTGACATGTCTGCAGCCTTTAATAGCTCCACAAACACATGCCTCACCCCGTGGGAGGACCATAGAAACTCACAGTGTCATTCCCCTAAACTGGCTGTGGAGGAAATTCCACACCACAACAACCTGTTTGTTGAGAAATGAACAAATGATAGAAGCTTAGAGCAAAGTTTTGTTCTTTAATAAAGTCAAAAAAGTTAATCTATTTCAGCTGAAAGGACAGAATCTAGCACAAGCCAATAATTACTAGATCTGACCTCATGCAACAGAACATACAAACACTTTATACTCAGAATGAAGGAAAGGGGAAGGTCTCAGCAAGAACATTTACATACATGGTCATTAAAAAGCTAATATTAATCCTAACAATGGTCGAAGAGACAGCCGTCTGTTTGTTCTAAGGAAGTGAGAATTAGAAGCTAGACGTGAATTCAAACCATAATCAAACCAGAGAAGTAAGTTATAGACTTAATGATACATTTACTCAGTTTAGCTTCTTAAGCGAGCGTAAATGGAAAGGGATGTGTGTGTTCTTCAGAGAAGCATCACGGTGGAAGCAGTGGAGGGCGTGTGTTGAACTCTTTAAACACTTGCATCATGTGAATCTGCAGGAGGAAGCCTGCTGGGTGGAGGTGGAGAACTCCCCCGTGGTGTGCTTCTGTTGCAGAGCGTTACATCAGCGTTAAACACGCCTGACTGCTCCACACGTTACAGGATCACTGCTGAGGGAAAACCTTCTGTCGTCCGTCAAAGAGTCCAAGGGAGGGCGGCCATGTTGAGTCACTTTGTGTGTGTGTTGTTTCACGGCAGATAAGACACTCGTTGTTAATATTCAAGAGTCAAGTCTTTAGTCTTTAGCGTATAAAGTACCGTTGCTAGGATTTTTTGGAAACATTTGACACTGAGGGAAGTACACAATAACCCGTGATCAGAGGTGGGAGAAGTACTCAGATCTTGTACTTGAGTAAAAGTAGAAGTACTCAGATCTTGTACTTGAGTGAAAGTAGAAGTACTCAGATCTTGTACTTGAGTAAAAGTAGAAGTACACAGATCTTGTACTTCAGTAAAAGTAGAAGTTGTTAGCAGATTTAGACTTAAACCTTTTGTCTCCTGCAGCAGAAAGGTGAATAATCTCAATCGTTNGTCTTCACCAACGCCTAGTTCTTTTAAGTTGAGGCTAAAAACACTACTTTTTACAGCTGCTTACCCAGAAGCCTTTGAACTTGTTTTAGCACCTAGTGTATTTATACACTAGGTGCTAAAACAAGTTCAAAGGCTTCTGGGTAAGCAGCTGTAAAAAGTAGTGTTTTTAGCCTCAACTTAAAAGAACTAGGCGTTGGTGAAGACTTGAAGTACTTTAAATAACTTTTCTTGTGTTTTCACTATAAGAGCAAAGACTGATGCGGTCTTGTAAATCAGTGTAGGAAAAATAACCTGCTCATTTTAAACAGCTTTACCTTTTCTCTTCTTCTCTTGTTTCCCATACGTGGCAAACCTAGATCTACGAATATGTTGTGAAGCAGAATAGATGAGGAATGCTTAACTCCAAATGCTGCACAGTGTGGTATAAAAATAATAGAAATCCATTTTTATTTGGATGTATCTTTGAGGCACAGAATGCAGTTTGAAGATAATGCTGCAGGATTGATAAAAGGCAGCAAATATTGAATTTGTTTTTTATCCGTCTTAAACAGTGTGCTCTTTCAACACAGCCTCACGGCATTTTGTGCTATAACGAAATGAATCTATTGATTTGTGTTCACCAACAAGATTTCGACATTTTTTTCGTGTCAGACAGAACTATTTTAAAAGCAATTTAAATAATAGCAAATTGGAAGGAAAAACAGATTTTAAAAAAAAATACAGATTTCAGTATTCTGACACAGAACGATTTTAGAAGCAATGTATTTCTATTGGTCGTATGTTTCGTGCCTGCACCACGTCTTTTTGTCCGGTCGGGTCTTGGAAGACCGGAAGCTGTGGGGTTCATAAAA